GACCCCAGTTAACCGTGTTGGTATGCTGCAAGATCCCGTGTGAATTATGTACTTCATTTCCGAAGAAGTTGGGGCGACGCGTAAAATGTAAACTTGAAGAGAATGGAATGGCTTAGAAATATCATGAACCAATTTATTCAAAGAGGAACTTGCTAAATGTATCAAATGATTAAATAATGCAATTTTTAATGAAGAAAAATATATTTTTTGCATTTTATGGCAGCTACACTTTAGAGAAGTTGGGACAGAGGCAACAACAGGCTGTAAAGTATCAATAAGAAGCAGCTGGAGGAGCATTTTGCTACTAATTGGGTTCATTGGTCAGTAAGAAGAGTCTAAAAAAAAAGGCTGAAGCTTTTAGAAGTCAAGATGGGCTGAGGTTCACCAGTCTTAGTCGCTAAACAATTTCAGAATCTTCTTCCCCCACAGAAAATTAGGAAGAGTTTGAATATCCCTTAATCTACAAATTATATTATGAAAAGATTTCAAGAATCTGGAGAAATCGTTGACGAGGCTGAATGTCAGTATTGAATGCTCGTGATCTTCAGACCCTCAGACTGTACTGGATCAAAAACGGGTCTGATTCTGTTCTGGACATTCCTGCATGGACTCAGGGAGACTTCTACAAGTCATTGTCTGTAAACCCAGTTCAGAGTCATCCATAAATACTGGTTAAAGCTCTGCCATGGCAAGACGAATGGTACAATTTCTCAAACATCTGATACGTTTGCTGCATTCCATTTGTAAATGACATACAGGTTGATGAGGGTTGCAAATCACCACATCCTGTTTTTACTGAAGTTTTGAACAACGTCCCAACATTTTCAGAACTGGGTTCACATTTTATAGGGTCTCTAAAATGTCTCATGGAAGGTAAATATGAGCAAAAGAGCTGGCCCTCTCCCTGCTTTCACATTACGAAGAGACAAAAACGTGTGTGTGCTCAGAAAACCCTCCCATATGAATTCTTCAAACCTCTGCAGACGAGAGACTTTAGCTTCGAGCTTACAGCCGTGGGAAATCTGAGGATTCTTAGAAGTTGTGAATGAAGACGGCTGTTCTCTCCCTCAGACAGTCGGGCTCTCCTCTTAATATCTTTAGGAAAACCTATTTTTTTCTTCATGTTTGCCTGTAAACCATTTGGTGTGTGCTCCCACTGCAGCACAGACACACAGCCTGCTGCACTGAGGCCTCCGCACACATTCACAGGAAAAATGTCAACGTTCATAGAAAAAGCACACTTGACACCTACCTACAGCTCTTTGCATCCTGCTGACTCTAAAGCCTAAAGAGGCCTGAGGAATTTTGATATTGGACTCTAATGTTCCTGGAAAACTCTCAGCTGGCAGCTCCATTTATCTCTCTGAACAAACTGAGTCATCGGATTAACAGTGATGGAGACTTGTTTCCACCCGTTAAAGCTTAAATTTACAGAAACTTTGTAAATTAAAAGTCCAGCATTCATTGAAGGAAAGCATTCAGGGGGGTGAGTCTTTGCCTCACCCCTCATCTGTGGTCATGAGGTTTGGATCATGACTGAAAGAACGAGATCCTGGATACAAGCGGCTAAAATAATCCGGGCTCCACCACAGAGAGAGGGTGAGGAGCTTTGTCTTCTAAGAGTGGAGCCGCTGCTCCTCTGCATCGAGGGGGTCAGTTGAGGTGGTTCATTGGATTAAGACGCCTCCCTTTGGAGGTTTTCCAGTCATGTCCCCCTGGGAAGTGGCTCCAGAACAGACCCAGAGCTCGTTGGAGGGGTTGTGTATCCTCTCTGGCCCGAGGAACACCTTGGTGTCCCCCAGGAGGAGCTGGAGAGGGTTCCTGAGGAGAGAGATGTCTGGGTTTCTCCTGGACTTGTTGCCTCCGTGATCTGACTATGGTAGTGGTTCAAGATGGAGATCATGTGTTGACAAATTGGTGAAATTTAAAAGAGAAAAAAAAAATCCAAATATACAAAAAAAAAGCATTAATTAATTAATTAATTAATTAATAATATTAACTGCATGTTATTGAGCAGTAGCTGCTAGAGATTAGCTTGTGAACAATATCTGTGAGGAAGCTTCCAGAATGTCTTGAAGGTTTCGGGGGGTTGTTGGTTTCCTCGCCTGACTTCTTGCAGAGGCTCACATTGTCACATGAGTTTTGAGGGGAGTTTGATGCAGGCTGCAAAATAACAAACGCGGCCCAGAACACAATTTCGCATTCTGTGCAAATAGTTCATAGTTCTAAAAATTAAAAAGACAGCTCAAAAACAAAAAAAAATATTTGACTATATATATATATATATATATACATTTTTTGTCTCCCAGTCTCCAACAGTTTTATGCTACTCTCAGCGCTCGCAGTATGTGTCAGGAATGACTCGGGCGGTCATCTTGAATTGGGTTGACTCCAGTTGTAGATTGGCATCCAGTGATTGATTTGAGTTTTAATATTTGTCCTCTGGTTCTTGATATTTTAAGACACACACAAACACTCGTCTTGTGAAAAGACATAATACAAATGGTTTAATGACAACACAGTCCTAATAATAAGTCTTTTATTTATGACGAGTGTTTTTTCTTTGCAACATTTATGGTGAGGCCATTTCTGCTCCATTTCTTTCTGATGTTTTTAGTACATTTAGAGCCAATAATGAAGTGTGTTCTTTCAGTTCTTAAATCCAGAATGTTAGTTATATTAACTAAAGAGGTGATAAACACGACCCGAACCAAACTTTTTTTAATAAATGTGCTGGGCTTAGATTGAACGTAACGACATTCGAGGCCGTGCGTCAGCTCTGAATACAGAATGTCTTTAGTTGAAACGGAGTTAATTCATAACAAGACAAAGTTAGGTTCCGTTGCTTGATCAGCTTTTAGGATAAATTAGATCCGTGTTAGAGGTAAGCTGCTGTATGTAGAGTGTTGATATTCACAGAGGATTATAGACTCTGTACTGACGTTTCTCCAAACTACTTAAGAGTCTAGCTTTCTGTTTAATGTTCTACTTAGAACATGCAGTCCTCTGTGTTATCACTATTAACATATGTTTTTTTTTTATTCTTGACATAAAAGCTGTTTGCTCTTTGCCTATTTAATAGTCAAACCAGAGTCTCAATAAATGCCAGTGTTGCTCCATGGCTGCTGGATGTAGCGGTTTGCTAATAAGTAAACAAAACCAAACATTTTCCCAGGTGTGTCAAGAATCTTTATTATCCCCAAGGGGCAATTTGTTCAACAGTCAGTAGGCACACAGAACATCCATACTACACAGGACATAAGACATTAAAATAACTACAGAAATCATCACTGTTCGTTGAGAAGCCTGATTGCTACAGGGATGAATGAGTTTTTCAGTCTGTTCGTCCCACATCTGGGCAGCAGATACCTGCGTCCAGATGGAGTGGATGATCAGGATCTGCCAGAATCAGCCTGGCCTTGTTCGCCGACGTCGCCTTGTGTAAGTTGATGAGATTCTGTAGGGCTATGCCAGCAGTTTTGCCACACATCCTGACAATCCCCGATTGTCAGAGTTGTTTGTTCTTCTGTCATGATGTGGGAGCACAAGAGACCAGGAGCTGGTCTTGCTGAGTATCATTTCCTGACAAGTCCAAGGTCATCTCCTCGTTCAACCAGAGGGTTTCCAGCCGGAGGGTTGAGGTTCTCTGTGGTCACCTTGGTGTCAGTTTTTTGTGTTTCAGACTATTTCCTGGTGAGGGGGTATCACGTTTTATTTTGGTCCCTCCACCTTGGAGAGTTTCTCCTAGCCTCCCATCCGTGATCTGCTGTTGGTGGGGTTTTTGGGTGTCGGGAGCCACCCGTTAAAGAGGGGGTCCTGTCATGATGTGGGTTTTTGTGTTCCTACCTTTTCTGTGTTTTCAGGGTTTTTGTGTTCTTTCAGCTTATTGCTGTCTGTGTTCCCCTCCAGTTACTGTCCCTGATGGTTCCAGTTTAGTTAATTAATTTCCACCATTTCAAGATCCTCCTGTGTTCTGTCTCCTTGTTCCAGGTTCTTTGTCATTCGCATCACATGTGGTACATGAGATGGAATGATATTGTGTACTCAAGGTCCCAGTTGTGCCCAAAAATAGCAAAAATAAAAAGAAACGGTATACAAGAATCTAAGATATACGCTAAACACTAAATGTAAAATGATCCAGTATATTAAGCAGCAGCCTGAACATGAGTCTGTGGTGAGTAGATGAGTATCTATACATATCCATATGGACATAACATACCTTGTGGGTTCGTTTTCACATTCTCAGTAGAGTTGTGCCTGCGCCTCAGCCAGACGTTTTGTGTTTAGTCCAGAGTGACAGTGTTCCCAGTTCTGTTAGTTCAACTCTTTATAATGAAGACTCTTTTTGTTCTTTGACACCTGGATCCATACATGGAGTCCCATTTCTCCCGTCGTTAATCAGAACCTGGCACCCTCCATGTAAACGGGGAGGCTTGAGAGTTACACTGATGTCAGAAATATGTTTAATTGAGATAAGTCCTAACCGCTCCATGACCCCTGACACAGCGGAGAGATCAGGTGACGTTAGCCAGAATAGCGAGCTTCTCAGCGTGTGCTTTAACAATCCCTCACATGTGATTTTTCTAATCACGACTGAGCCATGTAAAACTCAAAGGACACTCAGTTACTGCCAGCAACAGTGGACTGTTATTTTTCTTAAGCTCCTTACTGCTGGAAACGGGTCAACCTGACGTGTCATGTGTTTGGTGCCAGCCTCCGTGGGCCTTTTGTCATGTGTCACGCAGATTGAAGGGACTCTGGAGTCTGGGACTCTGGAAAACCAATTGTCTAAGTGAAGTTTGTGTTTGAACATTAAGGCAGATCATGACTGAGCCCAGCATCAGTGAGCTGCCAGGTTTTATGAAGCAGCTGACCGCCCCCTGCTGGTCAAATGTGGCACAAACGCAAAAAAACCCACAGACAGAGTTTTACAGTTTGTAATAATAAACTTGTGAAAGTTGCTCGAAGACCAACGGCTTGTGTTCTGTGCTCGCTTGCAGCTGCCCAACATGTTCGGCTCTCTGAGCTCCACCATCATGTCTCTGATGATCGGCTCCTACGCCTCCTCTGCCGTCACCTTCCCTGCTGTCAAGGTAAATCCCACCAACAGACGACCATCGAGGTGGTTCTGGAGGTTCAGACCCGCCAGTCGGCTCCGTCAATGTGTCCGTGAGCTTTTCCCCTATGTGTCCTGCTTCTTCCAAGAAGTACATGCTGGACTGTGTGTGTGTTTGTAAAACTTGCTTTGCTTTGGTTGTGTAGTTTAAAACTATAACTACAGAGGGTGCCTTGAAAGGCAACAAGCTGAATGTTTGAATTATGCTAAAGAACAAATTGTTTAAGTTAAAACAAGCAGATCAGAAGCTAAAATCAGGTAAACTTTTATTAAAAACTGCAATTAGCAAAACTCTAGCTAAAAGGTACAATCAGTGAAAGAGTTGCTAAAAGCTAAATCAGCAAAAACTTGGCTAGAGCTACAGTTAGCAATATTGTAGCTTAAAGGAGAAAAATAAATAAACAGAGCAGTTTGTTGAAGTAGTTTTCAGGCAACAGTTTTTAAAGGAGTTAGAGATCTCAGTAAATATTATAGTCATTTTTTGTAAATAAAGTGAAATAATTGAAAACCTGTAAAAGGTATACAACTAAAAGTCATGGCAGAAACACAAACATCAATAAAACGTTTATTTTTCCTTCCAGCTGATCTACGACGCAGGCGCATCCTTTCACGCCATCATGTGGGTGTGGGCCGCTCTCGCAGGCCTGGTCTTCATCAACTGCTTCGTCAACTGGCCCTCAGAAGGCTTCCCGTCCCCTCACGAGGTGGACTACAGGTTGGTACATGACCCCGCCCGCCGGGCCTCTTCTTTCCTGTGTTCTCATCCAAACCATGTTTTTACCCGGCAGTAAGATCCTCACGCTGCAGGAGGCGCCTTCGTCTGAGCAGAAGGCTGCAGAGGAGAGTCTGAGCCAGAAAAACGGAGACGTCCAACGCTCCACGGAGAAGCTCCCCAACGGACCTGAGGCTGCACAAAGTGAGTCAGAACTCGTGAAGTCCAGCTTTCTAATCTACAAAGTTTTTTTTTTTTTTTTTTTGCCAATTTTGTCTACTTTGTACAACTGGTGTCCATTAGAATCAGTAATAAACAAGTTCTCATTCTCAGATACTGTTCCTTTCCGCCGGTCTGTGATCTCCCCCATCTTCCTGTGGAGTCTGGTGACGATGGGGATGACCCAGCTGAGGCTCATCTTCTTCATGGGGGCGATGAACAAGATGCTGGAGTTCATGGTTACTCATGGAAAAGAGCACCGTAAGAGTTGAACAACTCCTGATCCGTCCTCCTGGATTGTATTTTACTGTTACTCAGTTGTTGTTGTTGTTGTTTACTTCTCAGCATCTGATGAGGAGGTCCTTGAGTCTACAGAGCAAGGTGAGCAGAGCCACGGCAGGAAGTTGAACTCTTTAATGTGGCGTCTTTCAACCGTCTTCACGTTTTCCTTGCTGTGAACTAAAACCGTTTTCTTTCAGTGAGTTTCTACTCGTCCATCTTCGGCACGCTGCAGCTGCTCTGCCTCGTCACGTGTCCTCTGATCGGCTACATCATGGACTGGAAGATGAAGGCGTGTAAAGAGGAGCAGTGTGATGCCTCGGGGGCGGAGCAGAGGTGTGTTCGGTGAAACGGCGTTAGGCCAAACTGGGGAACGACGTAAACGGGGAAGGTTTCACATCGAGTGAACGTTTTCATCCCGGTGTTTTTCTTTTTGGTCAGCAAACCGAAAAGAGACCGTAAGATCCAGAAGTTGACGAACGCCATGAGAGCCTTCATCTTCACCAACTCGCTGCTGGTCGTTTTTGGAATCTGCTGCCTCATCGATAACCTGCCTCTGCAGGTACAACCACACCTTGAACCAGTCTGACATAAACCCTGCTGCTGCCCTTGGGTTAAAGTGACCCACAGAGCCTCCGTTTTACCAGAGACCTCCTGGGTCATTTTAACCAAGAGCAGCAGCGGGGATAAACGGATCCCAGCAGCTGCACCTACTGATTCTCCTTGTTCCTGTGTTCCCTGTAGATTTTGTCGTTCATCCTCCACACTATGGTCCGAGGCTTCATCCACTCCTGCTGTAGTGGCCTTTACGCTGCTGTGTGAGTCCCGCACCGCCGACACATCACTCGCATCCAACCAAGTGACATTAGACTCTTTTCTGACTCATTTCATGTTATTTTCTACCACCTTATAAACACCTGACGTACAGCAGGGCTTTACAATGTGATAAAAGCAACCAGATGTGGTAGAAAAAGTAAACAATACGACAACATGACTCCCCCTGGAGCTACATGTACACAACAAACTATCTCTGGCTGTAATTATCATTTTATAACGTATATGTCGACACTAGAAACTAAAGCACAGCCGTTTTATTAAATATGTTTGAGTCTTGAGCTCAGTCTGATTGTTCTCTCACAGCTACCCGTCCAACCACTTCGGGACCCTGACGGGCCTCCAGTCGATGATCAGCGCCGTGTTCGCGCTGCTGCAGCAGCCGCTCTTCATCGTCATGGTGGTACATCTGAAAGGAGACCCCTTCTGGGTGAGGAGGTGCACTCACACAAACATGTCCTGAGCTGGTAAACACGAGAAACCAAAAAACTGTTTGTTCTATGAGGATTGTTTTCGTATGCAGCGACCGCTTTACTCACCTCTAATAGTGATTATCTTACCTGTGTCAGAACAAGACGGAGAAGAAATTATCGACACGTCTTATTTTATTGTGAAGAAAAATATACAAATCTGATCAAAACAAAAACATATGCTGCACTTACTGCTACTTAAATTAGTTCTATAAAGATCTCGAGTCTAAAAACCTTTTCTGCACAGATTTTATTCAAATTTAGTCCATCTATTGCAGATAACTTCTGGTTTGATTTATAATGAATCTGTCATTACATAAATAAAGTTTCCCTCATTTTTTTTTTTCAATCAACTTGATTTATTATCTTGTTCTGTGTCTGTTGAACGAGGTTGAGCACAGAAACGCAGCCTGAACCCGAGCAGCTGAAGTAAACATTGAATAAACCAAAAGCCTGTCATGGCACCAAAACCTTACAGGAGCCTGGAAGGTACAGAACGCCCCGAATGTGGCATTTAGAACATAAACTGCTCCTCTGAGAGAATGAAGGGTTATATGGACCAGAGCTGATGAGAGAAGTAGCTGCAGCTGCGACAGGTGAAGCAGGTGTAGATGGGCGTGGCAGGACTGAGAAGAGCCCAACTGTGGAAAAACTACTGAGAATGACAAAACGCAGAAACCAAACATCACAAGAAACATACATTTTTTGTAAAAAATAAATAAATAAACATAGACATTTTAGTTTATTTTTCTTGTTAAAATGCAACCAGTTTGAGCGTGGGTGTAACTCCTCCCACTTCTTCCATCAGATTCACCTGGGCCTGCTGATCTTCTCTCTGAGTGGCTACCTGCTGCCGGGCTACCTGTTCTACCACCGCAGGAACCTCCGGAAGCAAAAGAAGACCAAACGACCTTCTGCTCAGGAGCTGCTGAAAGTCAGCGAGGCCAACGGCCACACGCCTCACAGCAACGGCTTCGCCGCAGCCGAAGCCTGAAGAACGCAGCCGAAGACCGGAGGATCTGAGTTATTTTAGTAGGTGCCTTCAAAATGGACGTCGGCAGTCTGCTCGTTCAGACAGCTTCTTCCTAGGTGTTTTTATTTTTTTTAACTCGTTTTCAGTCACTGCTGGCGTCCATTTTGCTCGTTGTGAACTAAAAGTTTGTTTGTTTTTTACCGTATGGAGTCAGAGTTTCAATGTAATTTGGTCGTCTGCTGCTGCTGCTGTTTATTTATTGTGTTTTTAGACCCAAGAGCCAAAAACGAGTGTCCGTTAAAGCCATAAACCTGAACAGAATGCAAATATCGGAGTACTTGAAATACTTTTGTGTAGTTTTCCGACAATCGTCACAACTGTGCGATGACACCAAAGAGCCGTCATGCTGTACGGTTTTCACAGACATTAATGTCGTCTTTTATTTCTACAAACACAATTTATGCCATTTCAAAACTAACGCAAAAAGAAAACCTTAAAACCTTTTTCAACCTCAAACACAAAAAAAGGCGACTTGTTGAGAACGTCTACCTCCTGATCCTTTATCGTGTTTGCAACAAAAACCAATTCTTGAAACAATTTTTTTAGAAAACTCATTCTAATGTACAGAAACAGTAAATGAACCCTCCTGCTGCCCTTGGGTTAAAATCTGGAGGGTTGAAGGTCCAGCATTCCTTGAAAGAATATAGTTTTAGACTTTACTCATAATTTGTGACGGGTCGGAGCTGTTGAGGTTCAGGTCAAACTTTAGAAATGTCTTTTCTCAAGTCGTGCTCAGAGTGTGCGTCGGAGATGACTCTCAGCTACCGCATCCGATTTTAGCCTATTTGTCAAACTGACCGAGTTGTAGCCATTTTTTCTGATGAACATCCAGCGACTATTTCCTGAAGGTTCGATTGAAGTCCGTCCAGTGGTTCATGAGATATTTTGCTGTTTTCTGTCCACATTTCCATGAGGCAGGAAAAACTCAGTCCTGAAGTTTCTGTACTTATTTATAGGAAGAAAAGATTTTAGGAAAACGTGATTGTGCGACACGTTTATGCACAGAAATTAACTAGTGTATAATTTAAAAAAAAATTCTAGCTGCAGTAGCAACGAAAAGGGAAAATTATTTTGTAGGTTTATTACAAAGAAGCTTGGATGATTGTATCTTTTTAAATTTTTTGTAAGTGAGCAAACCATCTGTTGTAAATAGAAGCAAGATGTTTCTGTACGTTCTGGTTTTACTGTATATGTGTGCACAGTTCATCAATTTAAGGCGTAACTATACATCACAAGTTAAAACAAATGTTTTCTTGTCAACCAGCTGCAGAGAAGAAGTGGGTACATGTTTGTTGTACATAAGAGACGCTTTAAGTCCGTTTTTAATGTAGATTTTGACGTGTGGGTTTCACGTTTTCCCCTGGTTTGGGATGTAAATTCTAAGTGTGTTCAGCTTCTCGTGTCTTTTAGGCCGTTTTTAAATGAAAGTATTTCTGTGAAGTGTGTTCGCTTCAGTCTTTGCCAAACTTTTTTGTTTTTCTGTGTAAACCAAAGTGGTCAAAGTGCAGCTTTGACCTCAGGATAGCTGCCGGGAACCAGAAAACAAGAACCTCTTGCATCAGTCCAGCAGAATCGGCACCGTTTTGGTTCAAACTGGCTCTGATTCTGCATCAGTTTGTATTTTTATACCAAGTAGAATGTGTTTCAGTGGCAGCTGAAGAGTTTGCCACTTGAAGGTTTTCGTCGACCTGAGCTGCATTTCAGATTTCATTAAGTTGGTCAAAACGCCTCCATCTAAACTACTTCAAGAGTATAATCTAACATCCAGATGTTTTGAAAAGTTTAAAGTTTAGCTTCTGCAGCACATTTTAACGATTATCCGTCATCGAGGTTGAAGTGTTGAATTTACTCTGTCAACATCCACTTCCTGTTTGATAAATAAGTGTAAACACGGAAGTGTTTGTTTTTTATCTGTGTGTTTTTATCTGATCACATGAGCTAAAACTAGGAAAATAAAAGTTCAGATGCTGCAAACTAAGATAATCAAAGTTTATTTGATTCTGCTGTGGTCAAAAGAAACAAAATTAAAGACATACAATAAATGAGTTGCCTTTTTTTCTGTAACACACACACACACACACACACACACACACACACACACACACACACACTGCAGTCGGTTTCCCCTCAAATCAGAATACAGTCGTCTATAAAACACACATCCTCTTACAGAAAGCACACACTCGAACACAGATGCACGCACACACACACACACGGGTTCTCCGTCTATCTGAGGCTGTTGCTGTTGGGTTGTGATCCTGGAAGGCCCGGGTGGTCTGGACTGTGGCGGTTCTGGATCAGGAGAGAAGAGGTGAAATCAGGTTAATTTATACCAGCAGGTTCAAACACCTGGACTCGTTGAGGAACCAGTAACATCAGGACTGAAAACACAATCAGCCAGGAGCAGGGCTTAATTTGAGCCGGAACAGGACCCAGGAATTCTTATTTTGACAGGGTGTGTTCTGATAACTGCTTGCATCCAGCAAATCTCAGGCTTAATAATAAACTTTAATGAATAAAACTTATATTAGATATGTAAACTGAGAATATTTACATAAACACTCATTTTAAACAGAACAGCCACTTACGAGCTCTGAATATATCAGAGCTGCTCTTCAAGTAGCATTTCCACTTCTACCCTTAAAAAAAGCCCCGCCCCTAAGAGTGGTGGAGCTAACCAGGCAGTCGTATGCGAGCAGGAGCCCACAGGTAGCCGACACGATGGACTGAGTCAGGCTCTGAACCGTCAAGTAATGGGGAGGAGGATGATGCTTGACAGAAGTGTTTACAAATGGAGGTAAACAGATGTTTAAATACACCAAAATGTAGGAAATTGCATCTACTCAAAAATTTCTAAGCCCACACACACACACTATCTGCATTCCGACATTGATCAGTTTACAAAGCCCTGGGTGGGAGGGATGCCTGTCGCCTGCCACCTTTCATGGTAGAGTTTTAGACTGATCTCATGAGGGACGGTGTAACCATTTTGGTCAAAGCTTGTCGGGTAATGTCAGACCTCAAACGAGCCACTAGGACATTTTTAGTTCGGTTTCTATAAATTTGATTATTTCCTGAAGTTTCATTAAAATCTGCAAGTGATTCATGAGCTGTTTCGCTGACACATTATTCTCTGCCTTTTTTAATGGACATCTTCAGATTTTTTTTTTTTTTTTTTTACCTTTTTCTTCTTCTTGTCTTTCTTCTTTTTCTTGCGGTCGGGATCATCGTCCCGTTTTTTCTTCTTCTTCTTGGGATCAGAGTCTGATGGAGTTTCTAAAATGAAGAAAAGAAACATGCAAGTGACCCAAAACTTGGTGGTGCTTTTATTTGTCGCATTTGTGTCTCTACCTTGTGGTAGTGGGTCTTGCGGTCGATGATGCTTGTGTTTGTGTTTGCTCTTCTTCTTTGGAGGCTGTATGTGCATCAGTCTGTACTGTTCTGGGAGCTGAGGGGGCAAAAAAACCACGTTCGATGCTCATTTCATGATCTAACTTCATTTAGGAGTGAACAAGAAAGTGTTGCGCTATTGGTACCGGTCCTGTGTGAAGTCTGAAGCCTGTGAGCAGAGCGCCCGTCAGCGGGCTGAACGAGTTCCCACACACTGGAGGTTTATCGATCAGAGAGCGTAACGAGCTGCCATCCTGAGTGCCGGGGCAGTCGATCATACCTGCAACACCAGAAGAGAACAAAGGTGGAGTTTTAAAGGAGCTGGTCGCAACAAAAGAGTCAAAATGTGTCTGATGGCACAGTTAAATGACAAGAGACAAGTCCACAAGTTCCAGTTTGGTGGTATTAAAATCTCGTTCTGCAGACCACATGAGAAAATGATGACACTAAAAACATTTAATGATTAACTTTGCTGCTAAGAAAGAAAGTTGAGACAAGAATTTTCTGTGATACAATCTAAAAATAAAACTAATAGCTGGAGCAGAGGTTCAAGGTGAGGCTGAAAGAAAACGGACTTCTACTGGCGGAGAACATCAACGTAAGAAGAAGCCCAGTTAACAAAATACAGTGCTGCTTGAAAGTTTGTGAAGTCTTTATAATTTTCTACATTTCTGCATAAATGACCTAAAACATCAGCACACAAGTCCTAAAAGTAGATAAAGAGAACACAGTTAAGTAACAGAAATATTATACTTCATTATTTATTGAAAATGATCCAGTATTACATATTTGTGAGTGGTAAAAGTATGTGAACCTTTATAATTAGCAGTTAATATGAAGGTGAAATTAGAGTCAGGTGTTTTCAATCAATGGGATGATGATCAGGTGAGTGGACACCATGTTTGATTCAAAGAACATGAATCTATCAAAGTCTGCTCTTCACAACATGTTTGCATCGTGGCACGAACATAGATTTTTGAGGAACTCAGAAAAAGAGTTGTTGATGCTCATCAGGCTGGAAAAGGTTGTAAAACCAACTCTAAAGAGTTTGGACTGCACCAATCTACAGTCAGGTTGTATAAATTGAGGAAATTCAAGAGCATCGTTACCCTCCCCAGGAGTGGTGGACCAACAAAGATCACTAAAGAACAAGGCGTGGAATAGTCAGCGAGGTCACAAAATAACTTCTAAGCAACTGAAGGTCTCTCTCACATTAATGTTGATGTTCATGAGTCCACCATCAGGAGAACACTGAACAACAACGGTGTGCATGGCAGGGTTGAAGGAGAAATCCACTGCTCTCCAAAAAGCACATTGCTGCTTGTCTGCAGTTTGATAAAGATCACGTGGACAAGACAGAAGACTGTTGGAAGAATGTTTTGTGGACGGACGAGACCAAAATAGAACATTTTGGTTTAAATGAGAAGCGTTATGTTTGGAGAAAGGAAAACACTGAATTCCTGCATAAGAACTTTATCCCATCTGTGAAACATGGTGGTGGTAGTATCATGGTTTGGGCCTGTTTTGCTACATCTGGACCAGGACAGTTTGCCACCATCGATGGAACGATGAATTCTGAATTATATCAGAGAATTCTAAAGAAAAATGTCAGGACGTTTGTCCGTGATCTGGATCTGAAGAGAAGGTGGGTCATGCAGCAAGACCATGACTCCAAGCACACAAGTCGAATGGTTAAAGAAGAATTAAGTTTATGTTTTGGAACGGTCAAGTCAAAGTCCTGACCTTAATCCAATCTAAATGCTGTGGAAGGACCTGAAGCAGCCGTTAATGTGAGGAAACCACCAACATCCAGAGTTGAAGCTGTTCTGTACGGAGGAATGGGAACAATCTGGTGTGCAGGACTGATCAACAGTTACCAGAAACATTTAGTTACAGTTACTGCTGTGGGGGTGGGAGGGTGCTGTCACACCAAGTACTGAAATCAAAGGTTCACTTACTTTTGCCACACAAATCTGTAATATTGGATCATTTTCCACAACGACCAAATAATATTTAGTCTTGTTTGTTTAACTGGCTTCTTTCATGTCTCTCTTGTAAATGAGTCCTCAAGGCTCAATGGGATTAACCTGTCTAAATAAAGGTTGAATGATTTTTTTTTTTTTTTTTTAATCTACTTTTAGGACTTGTGTGAAAAATCTGATGATGTTTTGGTCATATTTATGTAGAGATATAGAAAATGATAAAAGGTTTTAGAAACTTTCAGACACCACTGTATATGCAGGCTGCTAAAAACAGCTGGCTGTCAAGTTGCAGGTTTGAGTAAAACTATAGACTGAAGTGGGCTGAAGAGCAGAACCGTGTTTTAATTTTGTTACAACGAAGCAGAATGTTTCTGGGTTCAAAACCTGACCGAGGTCTTTCTGTGGAGCTTCTCCGGTCTCCTTCCTCAGTTCAAAAACATCATGTCAGGGTAACTAACTGGTGATAATAAAACACTCCTAGTTATGGGCAGAATCAGTTTCTTGTCGTTTGCACCACATGTGGTACATGTGGTGGAACAAAATTATTTACACAGGGTCCCAGTTACATCCAACAATAAAATGTAAAAGAAAAAACAGTAATAAGATCTAAGAAAAACATTAACTAAAAATATGCTAAGCACTAATGGCATAAAAACAATATGTGGGCAAGAAGCTAGCAGAAACCTCAGTTACAGGAAAAGTCGGTGTTCTACTTTTTTTGCACTGCAGCCTGAGTTTATTCTGAAGCATTTCACAGAAAGTCACTGAATGAAAAATGTGAATCTTTCTCTTATTATCCAAGTTTTTCTATCATGTTAAACTTTCTACAAGCATTCTGAAATAACATCACCAAGTCACAACATTTCTAACTGCGACTTTCCTTCACATTTAACTAATTAAACAACGGCAGACTTTATAGCCAGGCAGCCAAAACTATGTCAAAAAAGTGTGTAAAGCCAAAAGATAAAGTACTTCCATCTTCTGAAAAGAAACGACTACGGTAAAAACATTAAGGACGAGAGTCGAGTCATTCTAAGGGAGGAAACTGAGCGACGAAGAGCGTTAAAACTAAAATTAAAGGCTAAAATCAGATAATCTGAACTCAAACGGGAGAACTTCTATAACTGATCGACACATTTAGTTGTAACAAAGGAGAGGAATATTTGGTGTTTTCTACCTTTTTTTGTTTAATCACATTAAGCTCCCATCATTTAATTGTGTAGAATTGTGTTAGATACATAATAAACCAAATAAATTAAAAAAAAACTGAAGTGACAGCTCTTAACGCTTTAAGTGTATTTTACCAAAAACTACTTATTACAAACAAATCACAACATCTGGAGCACAAATAAAACCAGGCTGATGTTTCATCCATGCAGCTGTCAGCATGAAGTAGTTTGAGTATTTGTACTGCAGCTGATGCAAAGCAGCTATGGAGAAACACTTTGTATAATTTAGTCCCGTTTCCTCCTGACCTGACCAACACACCTGGTAACTCTGGCAGGAAGTTGCTGAGCTTCTCCTTCACCTTCTTCCCGCAGAATTTGTTGTAGGCGTGTTCCAGGTTGTAGTGTGTGATGAGGTTGGTGTTTCCCGTCAGCTCGTTTCCGACTAAAAACAGAAATTCAACGAAATTCAGACAAAAGTTGTGTCAAGACATACAGTTCAACCTGAGCTGAGACCACAAGCTAAATGTACCCTTTGTTAGTTACATAACGTTTGACTTTATGAACATTAACACAAATATAATCTGCGAGCACAGAGCTGGATGAATAGATTTAGATGAAAGAATAAAAAGAGCAGCTTTGAATAACAGGAGCGATAATGACGAGTTAGCTTCCTCCGTGTAGCCTAGCTGCTACCATCACTGTTGTTTACAAAGTCTCAATCAACTTGTAATAGTATTTAAAATAATTTAAAAGGCAAACAAATTGTCTACATGAGATAATCCGACAGTACCTGGAAGTTCTCGCAGTAAATAGAAAGGTTCGTTCATAGCTCCGGGTTTCCGCAGAGGAGGCCCCTCATCCACGAGCTGTGGTGGCATCTGCCCCGCCATGGAGACTTGGCTCTGCGGCATAGGCGGCGGGAGCTTACCCGCTCCGAAACCTAGGGACAAAGACCCGGGCGGTCCCTGAGCTTCATTTTGCCCGAACAGATTAGAAAACCTCTCGGTCATACTTATTGTTAGAAAAACATTTGAAGTAAGTGGAAAAAGACGGTGTGGTCACAGCGTATCCACGCAACTACTCCACGGGCTTTATTTTTACCGTAATACAGCGCGCAAACACGCACGAGATCAACGCGATCAAACACACGTTACCGTAATACCCGGTGTCAACGCATCCAAACAGGTTCAAGGTTCTTTGTCATTCGCATCGCATGTGGTACATGAGGTGGAATTAAATTGTGTACTCAAGGTCCCAGTTACACGCGAAAATAGCAAAAATTTAAAAAGTATAAAAAAAGATATAGTATACAGTAATCCCTCGCTACTTTGCGGTCTCCCTTTGTCTGATTGATGGATGAGCTGCATGATCAGCATGGAATGTTTATTTAAAATTAGTTATTTAAAGTTAATTAGCACCTGCTGCACAATCTCCTTTCAGCAGCGGAGAAGTGGGCGTGGCCGAGAGCTGAGTTCATGACGTGTTGTGCTCTTTTAACGTTTAGGGTCCGGATCCCCGAGGGACTACTGTACAAGGATCCATTCTAAGATATACGCTAAACAATAATAATGTAATACCTGGTGTATATGAGAACATAACATTCAAAACATTGATTTTTAATAGTTCACTTTTATTTATTAAGCAGTATAGTAAACAAAATATGTACAGTTAAATTAGTGGACACAAACTACAAAAAAAAAAAATCACACTTCAAACACATCAGCAGGGCCGAAAGAAGAAGCCACTTTTTCAAATTCTGCCTCTGATGCCTGGTAATGAAAAGCAAAAATATTTGTTACTAACTAAAAAAAACACACTTTTTACCTATGTTTATGTTATGATAAGCTACTACTTTTTCCTTGAAACTCAGTTATTCCTTCATCAAACTAATGTCTATGTAAGAACTGTAGTCAAAACAATAGAGTAAAAAGCAGTATTTTAAGAAGTTACCTAAAATTGACCTGAATCCCTGAGCATTTTTCATGCACATCTCTAAATTCTCTTCCGCATTATTGTTTATTTTCTTACCTTCCAGTCTTCCACAGTTGTGGAAATGCGTAGTTCTGTCTGAGCAATGCTCTCTCTACCAGCTTGAACCTTCTCTGCCAGAGCAGCGTTCTCTGCTTGAATCTTTTTCAGCTCCAGTTTCATGTAGGCTTCCTGCTTTTGATAGAAGGGCATCACAAAGCTGCAAAAGTCCTGCTCAGGAACTCCACTTGGTCGCCTTAGAAAGCAGGGAGAAGAAGAACAAGATCAGATTTGAACTTTAGCAGCCATACAGTTTGGAAAGATTGCTGCTGGGAAATGCAGTGCAGTGATTTTGCTTTGTCTAAACAGACAGTTTAGACATTGACATATGAAGGACATGTGGATGCTCAATCAAAAACTTCACATGTGGCCTCAAAATAAATATATATTTTTAGAATAAAAGCACGTGTTAAAAAGTGAAGATTCCACGTTGCTGCTCACTGACCATGCAGGCTCCGGATCATCCTTGACAGCGTTCTCCAGTTTGTCCATTTCATTCAATTTGAAGTCCAACATCCCTTCTTCAGTCAGTTTGGCGATGTCCTCCTGGGTTATCACAAAGACAGAGATGTAAACATGTTGAAGCAAAATAAACAAACAAACAAAGACATTTTTTGGGGGGTAAATCTCAGTCTCTTGTTCATAAAGCTTAATTATTGCCCGTCATTGAGAGGTGAAGGGAGACAGCAAAGTATTCGTCCAAGCGTATGTGTATTACCAAAACATCATGAACTGGACACATTTTAATCAAACTTAACAAAAGTAATCATTGTATGTACATCTACAAGTGATTACCTTTGGATTCAAGATGACTGCTGCAGCCAACTGGCCTTCAAAAACTGAACAATAGCAATATAACTAAGGTAATTTTACAAATGCTAACCTAAAATATGGTGTGGTAGTAGCTGAGACTGATCCCCAATACATATTCTGAGCACTAACAGATACAAGACAGTTTTACAGATGTAGCACTAAAACTTGTCATTTACCAAACAATCTAAGAAACCACTAGACAGATTCAGTGAATCCAATTTAAGATGGCTGCCACAGTAAATTGACATTAGCCAACACAAAAATGGTACAGTAGTCCCTCGCTACTTCGCGATTTGTTTATCGTGAATTGCTCTATCGCAGTTTTTCAAAATAAGACATGACACACAGTTGGCTGATTGATGGATGAGCTGCACGATTGGCATGTAATTTTTATTTAAAATAAATTATTTAAAATTATTTAATACCTGTGTGCAGCCTACAGCTGCAGGAGAAGCTCCCTCCTGCAGCTGATCTCCACTCTGCAGCGGAGAAGTGGGCGTGGCCAAGAGCGGCAGGTGGCAGAGAGCTGAAATCATGACATTCTGTGCTCTTTTAGAGCTTTTACAGATTAGAAACGTTTAGAATATTGCAAGAGTGTGGGAAGAGTTTAAAAGGCCTTAATATAAAATAAACTACTACTTACTACTTGTACTACTATTCCTACTTGGCGGTTTTTCACTTATCGCAGGGCTTCAGGGTACGGATCCCCCGCAATAAACGAGGGACTACTGTACCATTGTCAATTCTACAGCTTTGGACCTAAAATTTGATGTGGGAGTAGCTGAGAGTGATTCACAACACACTCTGAGGGAAACATTTGATGATATCACATGAAATCACACACAATGTTATTTTCAGTGTTTGACCAAAACATCTACACCTCCTTCATCTCTTCACACAGGAGGAGTCTAAAACTCTGGTAGGAAAGGTGGCGGGTGATATGCACTCCTTTAAGATCTTTTATCTTTATTTGTAATTTCCATCATTTCTTATTTATTCCTCATTTTAAACAGACAGCTCTACCTCAACCCCGGGGACCATCGTCTATTCTCAGTCAGTTTAGTGCAGAATGAAGTACTTAAATCCAAGTACATAAAATAACACACACCTCCTGACAACTAGCTACTCTGCACAACATTTATTTACTCCTAATAAAACAGTCAAAGATTAGGCTGAGAACTGAAACTTTTATGTATGATGAATGATCTTATTGGACACAGAATAAAACTATAGCACAACACCAGCAAACCAAAACGGAACAAACAGTTGAAACAGCATAAATATAAAAATCGTAACATGATTACATTTAGTTTTTCCTCACCTGTATAGCTTTCCGCAGCTCCTCGATAAACTGATTGTGAATTCTCTCAATCATCTGAGGGTTCTTCTTGTACAGCGGGCGAAACATGCTGGCAAATCCTTTAAAACTGAGCGGAAAGAAGGTGTCAGACACATTATGTCATTATTAGAATCGTACTTTCTTCAATATGATGCATGATTTATCTAAAATATCTAAATACTAACTGCAAAGTTGTTGACAGTTACTAATGTCACCATTTATTACATAAAAATTACATTCTTTTTTTATATTTCTGATTTTCGTGGCAGAAACGTGTGAACCCAACTATTACTGGTTGAAGAAAACAGCCATTACTAGTAAATAATTACCGTAATCAAGGACATAAACACAAACAACCATCACGCTAATTTTTTATGCAATTATGATCACTTCTTATTTTTTACTGTGTAATTAAGGCCAAACATTTTTAAAGGAACATTTATCATCATCTTTCACCCAAAGTTTTAAACAAAGATCTAAGACGAGTCGGTGGGGGTGAGGGCGGACTCCAGAAACCATATTATCACATCTTATTAAACTGGTTGGCCCATTATGTGAGTGCGCTACTTATGGGACTGAGTTTGTTGTGGCGCCTCAGACTGATAAAAAGTTTTTTGAATGAAAGATGAAACGTTTCAACATAAAACGTCCAGAGGACCTGACTTAACTTTGTTGGATACGATCTAAGATGTTTGATAATGACAGTGTTATAACCAATTTGATCAACCCTTGAAAACATTACGTGTAACTTCCTGTGATCTTCTGTATCTATTAGTGATTGGAGTCTGTGCGACTCACAGCTACTACAACATCAAATTTTAGCTCAATATCTGTTCATCAACAAAGTTATAGTGATGGTTAAGGCTGATTAACGGCGGCTGCCATCTTGAACTGGATTGACTCTAACAGGTCATCAGTTATGGCTGAACATCCAGTGATAACTTTCTTTCATTGAAATCTGTCCAATGGTTCATGACACTGTTTTGCTAACAGGCAAACCCTGAAAGCTGTTTAAAACAAAGAAACAACAATAAAACCATGTGTTGGGGATTACTCTCAACTACTATCACACACTAAATTTTAGCTAAATATCTGTAAAAATGATTAAACTAGACTTTTTTTTGTTTGTTTGCTAAGACCGCTTTACTGTGGCAGCCATCTTGAATTGGGTCAATCTTTTACCAAAAGGTAAACTAAGTTTAATAAAATCCATCCAGTGGTTCTTGAAATATTTTGTTGATAGACACACAAAAGCAGACAGTCAAAACTCGATAAAAGAAACGACAAAACTTTAATAACCATTTTTTTAAATTTCGATTGTTTTTATCAGTGGGGTCCTATATCCGTTTTCTCATCGTTATTTTTACCTCAAACATTGATAATGGTCAAAACTTTTGCATCGTCATTTCTTATCCCATTGAATTAACATGAAAATGCCCACAGACTTGTTACCTGGCATGCTCTATGAACTTGTTGAGGCTCTTCTGCATGACTTTTTCGAATAACTTCACCCGGTTGTACGGAGTTCTCGTATCCTCCATCGATTTACCAGCAGCGTCCTGCTTCGACGTGTCCGAGGAAACTTCCCCCGCACTCAGTTTTTCAGTGGAAATATTTTCATTTTCTTCCGCAGCCTCATTATGAGCTGAAACACTGGCTTCCTCCATGTTTTTAAGTACTATTTATATTTTGACTGTGCGCGCCAAAACTACGGCAAGCAGCAGAAATCAAAAAATGTGGACGTAAAAAAAAAAGACGTCATTTTGGCGCAGGCGCACTCCGTTCATGTTTGTCCTGTTGTCCAGAAAAAAAGACGACGTAAAAAAGGACGTCATTTTGACGCAGGCGCACTCCGTTCATGTTTGTCCTGTTGTCCAGAAAAAAATACGACGTAAAAAAGGACGTCATTTTGGCGCAGGCGCACTCCGTTCCTCACTTTACTCCATATTCGTCCTGGTAGGCCGACCTCTATGAAAACATGGGTTTAATCACAGGAGTGTGCACCTTCTTGTATCATTTACCACAGATATATAAATGGCTGCTCAAACCGTATTATATCGTCTCGCTTTTTATGACCGTCGCCTTTCTGGTGGTCAGGAAAGCCCCCGGACTGTGCGAGCACCTAGCTTCGGATCGGGAGGACGGCAACTCGTGCGACTTTGACTGGGTGAGGATGATGATGATGATGATGGGGGGGTCCAGGGAGGATAGCGTTGCACTGCAGCGTGTTGTTAAATATAGTGTGACGGTATAAGAGGTAAAAATATGTTTTTACTGGGTTTGTGTTACAGAGAGAAGTGGAGATCCTCATGTTTCTCAGTGCAATAGTGATGATGAAGAACAGAAGAGCCAGTAAGTATTACCCTACACCCTGTACATGTATAATATCTAAAACCACACTAAATGTGACTTTTTAAACACAATACTGTTTTCAGTTTAAAATAGTTGACCTGGCAACAGCAAAAAGCACCCAGGAAGTGATTCATTATTAGTCTGTTGTGTAAACATAACAGGTGCAGTGTGATCCCACCCCTCTTTCACCTTGCTCAGGTAAATGAAGGTTTTAAGTTCTTAACGTTCTTCTGTTCCGCTGCTTCGCAGTCACCTTGGAGCAGCACATTGGCAACTTGTTCCTGTTCAGTAAAGTGGCCAACGTCATCCTCTTCTTCAGGCTGGACATCCGGCTGGGCATCCTCTACCTCACCCTGTGTGTAGGTCAGTGGTTTAATACGCCTCCCACTTCCACCGACACGCTTCTGTTGTGCCCATGAGCAAATGGTTTATGTCCCAGAAGCAGTAACACCCTGTCACCTGCACCTCAAGAAGACGCTGTTTCATTTTGTCTAGCGGGGACAAACTGAACACGTTTAGTATTAATATAGATTGTTGTCAAACTTTAAAATCTTTTGGAACATCTGTCTGCTCCAACTCACCTGCAGAGCTTTGAAAATACTTCTTTTTTTTTTGAAGTTATGTAACATTGCAACCACAAACATAAATTTTTCTGGGATTTTACATGAAAGGCCAACACAAAGTAGTGCGTAGTTGTGAAGTGGATGGAAAGTGATGCGCAGTTTGGCAAGTGTTTGTATTCAACCCTGTTTACAGTGAGTAAAGTTTATTTATGTAGCACCTTTCATAGATATATCGCAGTGAAAGAAAATACAAATTGCATACATTAAACCATTTATAAACTTTCATAAAATAAGTATACAAATAAAACTGCAGCGAACAAGACAAAATATCAAAAGCTCTGCTCCTAAATAAAACTTTGTTGATACATTAATGTTTTAGTATGTTTTAAATGCATTAATTTAATTTAGGCTGTGTAAAGATTAGGGGAGTGCATTCTAAAGTCGGGGTGCAGCTGCTTAGAATGGCTGACCCCCACAAGATTTAAACCGGGTGTGAAGCTGATGATCTTAACCTGCGGGGCGGTGCGTGGGTCTAAACCAGGATCTGGTGCTCTAAAGGTTAAAACTACTGATACTAAAATCCATTTACCTTCACATGTCACCTGATGTTTTCACCTGTCTCTGTTATGTTCGTCTGTACCGTTAGCAAAATATCTCCACTCGACTGACTCCAAGGAAATAATCAGTAGATGGACACCTACAACAGAAGTCGACTGATAAGAGGGTGTTTTATGGCTGATGCCGATAGATTTGTAGAAATCAGCACAGCTGATAGCAGATCAACATAGATTTTTATTTTTAGACAATATTTTTCTTTTAATAATATTGTTTAAAACTTTAACATGTACTTAACCTTTAAAAGAACTTGTGCGCTTGAAAATAATAGTGAGAACATTCCCGCAAAAAACAACAACATACAAACTAATCAAATGAACAACTGATTAATGTTTGGAGTCAGTCTGGTTTAAAGATGGCTGCCATAACTCGTCAACATTAGCTGGAACAAAAACGCCTGTAACTCAAGTCAGATTCAGACGTTGACCTAAAGTTTGATGTGGTAGTAGCTGAGCGTCATTCTCAACACATGCTCGGAGAGCGAACACGTGACATATGAATGAGATTACTCACAATATTTTTCACAGGGTTTAGCTACACGTTGAGTTAAACTCTGGTATGTTGAGTTAGTATGCTGAGTTAAACTCTGGCATGTTGAGTTAGTATGTTGAGTTAAACTGGCGTGTTGAGTTGGTATGTTGAGTGAAACTGGCATGCTGAGTTAAACTCTGGCATGTTGAGTTAAACTGCCATGTTGAGTTAGT